GCATATAAATATCCAGATTTAAGTCTACTCTGTAGCTGTTTATTATGAATGAATGTCTTTTCTTCAATAAAAAACATGTTTTAAGCCTGCTTTGAAAATATTTGTTCTGCATGGATCACAGTTTCAATTAAACTCAAGACCATGGATCAGTTTATTTTGATGAAAGGCACTAAAACTAGTATTATTTTTTACTGATTTTTGTTCCTACCCTTTTATCATTTATTCAAGGATTCATATATAAAGTATCTGATTAAGAAGTTTTATACTCTTAATCATCCAAATCTACAAAAGCTATAGATTTTTCCCCAAAAAATGACTCTGATGCTTTTCCATTCTACTATGTAGGCACTTCTCACCTCCTATATGCAAAACTGTAAGGTAACAATCTAACTAAAGTCATGACTATTTCAGTCTGTTTCCCTGTTAGCAGATCCACATATTACTGTTAATTCTTCTTCCTATTTTCATGAAGTTACTCCTTGGTCAAAATTACTCTAATAGTGCTCTTTCCTTCCGTATCATATCAACATCCTTGGCCTGGTTTTCAAGACCCTCCATAAGCTACTCTTCCTCTAATTTGACATCTCATTATTTATCCTTAGTACATTTCCTAACAAAGTCAACGTCATAAATATAGCAACATCAAATTCTTACAGGATGTGTGCTAGATATTTGCTCATAAGGTAACCTATGAGATACATATCAGATACTGATTTTATAAACATTCGCCAAGACACTGATAAATTGAGTACATTGTCCATGCATGTAGCTAAAAAGTGATGTGATTTGGGATTCTAAGAGTTATCTATTTTACATCTTTCTACTACACTGTGCTACGTCATTCACATATACCACTAAACTTGGTGTAGTCTTTTTTCATGGTTGATGTTTCTCCAAGCCAGGTTTTGCAGTGTCTTACCAACCAACCAACCAGTTGCCATCAAGTTGATTTCCCATGTGTGTCAGAGTAGTACTATGCCCCACAGGGCTTTCAATGGCTGATTTTTTGGAAGTAGATCTCCAGGTCTTTCTTCCCAGCAGCCAAGCACATTAACTACATCAATTTACAACCTTCAAAAATCCACAAATTCTAGAGCCCTCAGACAATCACTAGATCTTCTTGGTATGCCTAATAACCAAAAAATTTTCCATTGAGCTTTATTTTCTGTAGCTTGTGTTATGAAAACATTTTTTCAACTTCAAACATAAAGGTATATTATAACATCAAGTTATTGTTTAGTCAAACCACAAGAGCCTCCCAATGACCAAGTTTTTATACTTGGGAGGAATGTCCTCCCCACCCCTGAAACTTGACTTTATGTTCCTTTGGGGCAGTAGCCATTCATTACATACTTAGAGTGACAATGTAAATTCATTCATAAAGCAGATTTATTGCTTTTCATATGCCAGGCTTTAGGTTAGGCCCCAAAACCAAAAACAAATTCACTGCTGTGGAGTTGATTCAACTCATAGCGACCCCTCCTTGGGTTTCCAAGGCAGTATCTGTATGGAAGTAGATTGCCAGTCTTCCTTCCAAGGAATGGCTGGTGGGTTAGGCCCAAAGTATGCAAAAAGTAAAAGGGGGGGAAAAAAAAAGGACTCTCAGTTCTCAATGTCAAGTACTTAAAAGTCCTGGATAAATACTTAACAAAACCAAACCAAACCCACCGCCACTGAGTTAATTGCAATTCACAGTGACACTATAGGACAGAGTAGAACTGCCCCAGAGGGTTTCCAAGGCATCGAACTGCTAACCAGAGGGCTGGTGGTTCAAACCCACCAGCCACTCCTCAAAAGGAAGACTGGGCAATCTACTTCCATAGAGATACCACCTCGGAAATCCAAGGAGGGGGTCACTCTGAGTCAGATTCAACCCAACCTGCAGTGAGTTTGGTTGGTTAAATCTTTACAGAAGGCGAATGCCACATCTTTCTCCCACAGAGGCGCTGGTGGGTTGAAACCACCAATCTTAGAGTTAGCAGCCAAGCACTTTAACCACTGCGCACCACCAAAAAAAAAAAACAACCAAATTCACTGGTCGTCAAGTGATTCTGACTCATAGAGACCTCCTTTGGGTTTCAGAGGTGGTAAATCTTTACCGAAGTAGATTGCCCAGTCATCCTTCAGTTGAGTGGCTGGTGGGTTTGAACAGCCAACCTTCTAGATAGCAATCAAATCCCTTAGGCACTAGGCCACCAGAGCTCTTTGTGCAGCACCAAGGCTCCTTAAATTCTTACCGGCGTCTAATCAACCAAGTTTTTGCTTTTTAAAAAAAAAAAAACACCACTGTGAGAAGCTAGGTTTGGTTTAGGGCCACGTTTGGGAATTCGATGAACGTTCTGGGAACACTAACTCCCCAGAAAAATACACATACAATTGGGAGGGAGGGGCTTATGAACTGTGCTGAAGCTAAATCTACTACTGAATCTATATTCAAACTCCAACACAAAACTCAGTTCTTTGGGGACAGGAATTATCATACTTGTTTGATAATCCTGTCTTGCATAGTACAACGTATAAAAATGCCCCTAAAAGAAGTGTTTACCGATCTATAAAAATAATAGTTTCTTCCATTACAGAGCCCCTTTGTCAAATAACTTTAAAAGCCCGAAATCCCCTTTCACTAATAACACTAATGACCTAAAACGATGAACTCGAAAGTCATTGTTTTGTTATTTACATGTGGAGCATTCGATTATTCACTAATCCAGGCTCCCTCCTCTCCTAGTCCTCCAAACCCTCCCCGCAAACTCAAACCCAAACCGCACTGAAATCTAGTAGGTTCTGACTCATGGCGACCCTATAGGACAAAACAGAAGTGCCCTCCAAGGTTTCCAACGCTGTAATCTTCACGGAAGCAGACTGCTTCATCTTTCTCTCGCACAGAGGCTGGTGGGTTCCAACCACCAACCTTTTGGTTAGCAGCCCCGCATTTTAATCACTGCGCCACCAGGGCTCATTCCCCAAAACTCAGAGCTGCTAAGAACTCACTTTCATCGAGTCAATTCCGACTCACAGGACCCCTTCTCGGTTTCGGAGGCGATATCTCCACGGAAGTACACTGTCCGCTACATATCCCAAAACCTACGCACAAAGACCCACTATTCCCAAGGAGACACAAAATAACCGATGATCCACGCTACACAGTCTCAAAGCACGGAAGGTGGGATCAGCTGATGGCTAAAACTTCCGAACCCTTTCCTCACAATCAAATTCCTCACCAATTTAATTTACCTCAAATTCCAGGAAAGCAGTGCCGAATACCCTCATAGAGTAGGACCAGTTACCAACAAGCCTTCTGACCTCCTGTCACCATAGTGACTGCTCCCAGCAACGCTCCCTCCCCTTCCCGCGATATTTCCTCCCCTTCCTACCCCCGCCTCCACCGCGCGTCACCCCAGAGGACCTGAGACCCCGCCCCATAACGAGCGCGCCCTCTCCTGAGGGGGCGTTATTGGTCGACTGAATCTGGCCTTTACCTGTGGGCGGAACCCGACTGTTTTTCTTTTCCAAAAACCGCCACTTTTTATAAAACTACTTTTTTTATAATAGTGCTTCTGCTGTAGGCCACAGGGTAAACATTCCCTTGTTCTTCATTTTCACTGAGTAGAAATGTCCCCTATCGCCCGAGTTCCGCGAGGATTTGGCACTTGCGCACAAGCAACCAGAAGATGGCGGTGAGAATCGCCGCACTTTTTTTCAAATTAGTGGATCCCAGACGGCATTGCGCGCATTTGTAACGAATTTCCGTTCGAGTTTGTATTTTAGGCGCCATTTTCGAGTGAAGGACCCGGAGCTGAAACACCGGTAGGACCTTGGAGAGGGTTACACAACCGTTTCCAAGCTTGGTCTGAGTGGACTGCCCCGCAGGTAAAGTACTTCTTTTCCTGGTCAGGTTGTCAAGCTCTTACTTCCTGACCCGTCCGCTGGCGCCTGGAAAGTACAGGCCTTGAGCCCGAGCGGCCGAAGTCTGTACTGAAGCTGCGGCCGAGAGATTTCTCTCGCTGTCACCCCTCCCCCCTCGGCCGCTCCCCGGCGGTCCGAGCTCCCGCGCGCTTCTCACAAGCGCCACTTCTCTGAGCTCCTTAAGCGTCTGCTCTCGGAGGCTACAAGCCCCGTGGATCTCTTTTAAAAAAATCCTGGTTTCTAGCGGAGAAAGGGCGTCTCCCCCAACTCCGTCCCCTTGCCCTTCTCTCGTCTCCCAAGGGACTAGTCACAGACTCGGCGCTTTCACCGGTGTCTGTTCAGGGTTTATTTTAATCTAACGGAACTCCGCTGCGCGCCCCGGAGGCATAAGCCACGGCCATCCAAAAATGATTGAACCCAGGTTGGGGCTACTAGCGTGTGATTTGGAAGTCGCTATTGATCGACGGCAGCCTTCAGCCGCCTATCGGGGTCGGGCTCTGGAGGGGAGATCTCGAAGCCCCTGAACTATCTACGGCTGGAAGAGCTAAATGGCGGGGAGAGGCAAGTGGGCGGCTTGTCACGCCTTACTCTTCTCTAGTCTAGAAAGAGTTGATAGCCGCTAAAGCTTAACTCTTCTAAAAAGTCAGTGCGCTTGCATCCCTGATTCAGAGAGCGTGGGGTCAGTAAATGTCGGCGTCTGGGGTTACTTCGTTTGAAAATCACATTATAGGGAATATTCTTATTCACTTACAGTGTGGGCGATTGGGGGCGGGGAGGAGACCAGCTTCTTAAAAAGAACCTAAGCAACTGGTTGATTGTCAAGCACGTCTAGGATTTCCCACCTGCGTAGGTCCGGTTGAGAAAGCCAATCCCGCCTTATTGCAGTTTGGATTTGTTGTGGCTTTTTCCCCGCGGTTCCGCAGCTTCTGACCAGTGGTTCATTGGGGCCCTCGGAAGCAGGTGGACAGAGGTTTCTCCGAGTGGGTCCGGCTTTAGAGGTGCGGGCTGAGCCTGGCCGGCGTCAAGGGCTGACGGGGAAGGTGTAGGTGCGTTGTCCAGTCATAGGCTGACAATCTCCGGCGGCCCCAGCGACCATGCCCCGCAAAGGCACCCAGCCATCCACAGCCCGGCGCAGAGAAGAGGAGCCGCTGCCGTCTCCGGACGGTGCTAGCACCGACGCCGAGTCCGAGCCACTGCCGCCCGGCCGCACCGAGAGCCCGACTGCTGCCGCCGCAGGTGAGTGCCCGCCGTGACTAGGCAGGAACATGCGCTGGGAGATGGGGGCGATCGCAGGGATTGACGCCTGAAGGGCTAGAGTGGGCCGGGTATAGCAGCTGGGAAAAGCTGTTGGGCGATTTTCAGAGAAAAGATACCCATGCATTTTGGGTGTGACGGTGCGGGAGGGAACGAGGGCAAGTAAATAGCTTCAGTTGTGAATATCTGTTAGTGGCTTTTGTAGTGGTACCAATCTTCTATTTCTGCGGAAATCGGCCGGGTCAGCCTAGGGCCGTGGACTTTTTTTTTCCAGACAGAATCAATATAAGTGTATGTGAACGTGACAAAATGTTGCTCGGCCTTAACTTCATTTCCATAATCTTAAATTAACTTTAAAGAGAAGGTGATAACTTGTTTCACCAAACTACACGTAACTTTTGTAACTCCAGGAATTGTGAAACCCCTCTGTCAGGGTCGCTCAAGGTCTTGGTGCCCAAAATAATAGTACAAAATACTCAAAGATAGCCAGTGTCAGTAGAGAGCTTTAGAATTTAGATCCTTGTTTAGAATGATGAGGAGCCCTGGTGGTGCAGTGGTTAAAGCGCTCTGCTGCGAACCGAAAAGTGGTTATTGAAACCCACCAGCCCTACCGCGCGGGAGAAAGATGGAGTTTGCTTCTGTAAAGATTACAGCTTTAGAAACCCTATGGGGCACTTTTGTTCCACCCTACAGCGTCATTATGTGTCGGAATTGATCCCACTACAGTGAGTTTGGGTTAGAATGGTGTGGAGGTGGTTTTTTGAGATTTGCGTCGTGTTGTAGTGTTGTAATTCTTAAACAGTATAGTTCTATAGAATCTTAGGACTAGTGACATTTTTTTTCCCAGGATTTTCTTTTATAAGATAAAGTGAAAGATTAGATTCTTACGGCCTGTGAGTTGAGGTTATACTGTACTTAAGTGGAAAATACAGGTTTCAGAACTTCCCTCCTGAAATCAGCAGGCTGTAGTCCTGCCAACCAATTGGCACTAATGAGAGCTTTTTCCCCCTTTCCTTTGGACTGACTTAGAGACTCCAAGTGAGGAACTTGATAATAGGAGTTTAGAAGAAATTTTGAATAGCATCCCTCCTCCACCACCTCCAGCAATGACCAATGAAGCTG